CGCTCCCCCCCGCCAACTCCAAAATCAACCGACACGCCACATCCATAAACACAAACGGCGACACCACCTCATCCTCCCTCACCGCCCCCGCCCCGTCCTTCTCCTTCACCGACCTCCCGCTCTCGCTGCTCGTCTCGGACGACAGTATCGGATCGAACACCGCCATGTCGAACTTCCCCGCGCCCGGCTCGGAGGAGGCGCGGTAGGATTTCTTGTGGTGGAAGTCGACGAGGTAGTTTATGGAGTCGACCATGTAGAGTTGGAGGTTCATTAGTACCTGTAGGGTGTGGTTTATGGTGAGTGGGAGGAAGAGGAAGAGGGAGAAGGAGACGAACCACTACATCCTGCACCCGCGCTCTCGTCTCCACGAAATAGATACTCGACGCCGCCTTCAAATCCACGCCCCCACCCCCATCCAGCTCCCGCGCCCTCTCCACCAACGCCCCCCTCTCCCTCGCCGCCTTCGCCCTCAACCCGCCCAACCCGCCCAAATTCTTCTTCTCCTTCCACTCCATCCCCAGCGTCTTCAGCGTCCGGTAAATCTCCAACATCACCTCCATCGGCGGGCTCCTGCTGCGTATCCCGAAATGCCACTTCGTCTTGTGCTGCTTCTTCTCCTTGGGCGCGCCGGAGCGCTTGGCGGAGAAGTAAGACGTGAGGTGGTGTTGCTCAGGACCTTGTTCGGGGAGGGAGGAGTTGAGGACGGCGAAGTTGGGGGCGCCGGGTTCGGTGTTGGTGACGGCGGATGGTTGGGGGGAGATGAAGTCGAGTTCGTCGGAGGAGGGCTCTTCGTCGTCGTATTCGGCGTTGAACTCGGCTTCGAATGGGTTTTCTTCGAGATCTGTGCCCACGGGTGAGAGGACGGTTGGGGAGAGTGCGTTGCGGGGCTGTGGGGACGCATATATTTCTTAGTTTGAGAATGAAAAGAATAAGAGAAAAGAGCGCACATCCATAGCAGCCAGTTGGGCATCGCGTTCGGCTTCCGCGAATTCAGCGACTGTACCGAGTCAGCAGAGATCCCCCCGATCCGAGAAAGCACTCACGATCTTTCCCAAGCCGTCTCATATCTCTCAAAAGTAGATACGCAACCTTCACCGCATTCCCCTGCACCCCATCATCCCTCCTCAAAGCCTCCCAGATATCATCCTTCTCCACCCCCACCATCCGATGCGCCAACTCATCCACCACATCCTCCTCAATCCTCCCCAGCCCTTCTATGATCTCAAAGTCCAGCACCTTCGGCGGCGTCACCAGCGAGCTCAACGTGCCCAGCACCGGCCCGGGCGCAGGCGGCAGCGGAGTGAGATATCGCGGGAGATCGGTGGTGAAGAACGGGTGCTGCGTGATCTCAGGAATCGTTATCCGCTTCACCGGATCGACGGCGAGCATCGCGGTGATGAGGGAGCGTGCGTCGTGCGAGAGGTGGCTCGGCATGTCGAAGGTCCCCTGGCTGATCTTGGAGAAGAGCACCTGCACATCGTCGTCCTCGAACGGCAGCCGCCCACAGAGCATGACGTACAATATCACCCCCGAGCTCCAGACGTCGATCTCGGGCCCCGCGTACACGCCGCCTCTAATCACCTCCGGCGCAGCGTAGTTCGGCGACCCACAGGAGGTGGTGAGGAAGTCCCCGTCGCTGATCTCGTTGGAGAGCCCGAAATCGGCGATTTTGACGTTGAGGTCGTCGTCGAGGAGCACGTTCTCGGGTTTGAGGTCGCGGTGCACGATTTTGAGGCGGTGCGAGTATTCGATGCCTGAGATTATTTGTTGGAAGAACTTGCGCGCGCGCGGGGGCGGCATGCGGCCGTGTGCGACGATGTAGTTGAAGAGCTCGCCACCGGCGTATTCGAGCACGAAGATGATGTCGGTGGGGGTGGAGATGACTTCGTACCTGGATGGATGTGAGGGTTAGGATGTGCGCAGGGCTGAAAGAGGGGGGCAATACAGTTTGATGATGTGGGGATGGCGGAGGGTCCGCATGTACTCATACTCCCTGCGTACACGGGTCTTCGTCTTTTCTCGCTGGATCACCGCTTTCGAGATATACTTCATGGCAACTTTATGCCCCGTAATCACATGCGTCGCCACTTGAACAAAAACCGAATCAGCGCCTCTTCAATCCAATCAACCGTGCAATCGACGTACTTTTCACCTTGCCAAACGTGCCCTCTGCGATGTCTTGGATGACGGTGTACTCGCCCAGCTTTGAGGGCGGGAAGACGTGTGTGCCCTGACTGTCGCCCATGGTGGTCGCAGAGACAGGTCGTGCTTTTTGATTGGGTGGGGCGGGAGAGATGGAGTGTGGGTGCGTGCGTTGCCCGGTGGTGGTGTGGGGTACAGAGCTGTGTGGCCCTGTTTGGCACACCTCTTTTGCTTGATTTGGGATCGGATTGGAGTTAGATGTGAGGAGAGAGAGAGAGAGTCTAGCGATCTACGCAGGATGTGAAGAGATGGATAGGCGCTATCTTAACATTCATTTGCGCCTTAGCGGAACTCACGCGTTCCTTGCTTTCCGAGTGTGCGTGCGAACTTGATACGATTAAGGTGTCGTAACGGGTCTCGATCTATTTGGACTGCAACCTCTACGAAACCTACGAAACCTACGAAACCCCAGTAATCTGTGGACATCGTAAGCCCGGAAGCTGACCCCAGACCGAGAAGCGATCTGTGTGTTCAGAAATTCAATCTGCCCTCTTCTCGCCAGGGTCAAGAGGAGGAAGTGGTTCGTTTCTACGACTGGTATTTGGACTCTACGGTTTTAGACTGTCCTATCGCTCATCGAGATCGCCGTCGAAGACTTCAACTCGGAATTTATCCAGCGACTCCCGGTTCTCCTACACCCCTTCTTGACACTCGATTACTTCTTTAATCCTTGGCGATATCTTACGTGGTCAGGCGTTCCATTTCTCGCAACTGCGTTGCGATATTGACAACGGTATGTTTATCCAGACTGCAACATACTGCAACCATACTGGCAACTTGAGACAAGCTTGGTACGATTTTTCCACAGGTGCGATTACTACTCCCTTTCACCTTCTCCCGCGAAGGTCAAGTTGGTTAAGCACATGCAATAGTTCGTTCCAGATTACTTAGAACCAACTGTGCACGATGGGTAGCCCGTTCTATCTTTCTCTCAATGGCGTGATTCGAGATCGCTTCCTTCAACAAGCCTTCTCGAGGTATTCTATTCACAGGTTCGGAGGCACAACCACATGGAGGTGGTTCTTCCCTCTACGAAACCTACCGAACTCCAGTGATCTGTAACCGGAAGCTGACCCAAGCTCGAGTGACGCCTTGTTCAAAGGTTCATTTGTGGCCTTCTCGTAAGGGCAAAGACAAGGAGGTGGTTCGTTTCGGCCAGTGGTATTTGGACTTCACGGTCTCAAATTGTCCTATCGCGCATCGAGATCACCAGAATACATCCAGTGAGTCACGATTCTCCTACCTTCTTGACCAATTCTTGACACTCGATTACTTCTTTAATCCTTGGCGATATCTTACGTGGTCAGACGTTCCATTTCTCGCAAGTGCGCTGCGATGATGACAATGGTATGTTTATGTCACCGCACCGTAGTGGCGACTTGTATCAAGCATGGTAAGATTTTTCCACAGGCTTGATTACTAACCCCCCTCTCCTTCTCCCGCGAAGGTCAAGCACATGTATGTGGTTCGTTCCAAATTATCTGGAACCAAGTGTGCATGATGCGTCGACCATTCTACCTCTCAAAGTCATCGAGATCGCTTCAAAATTTTTCTCAAGGCATGTTATTCACAGGTTCACATCTCACTCGGAGGCTCAAGCACATGGATGCGGTTCGTTTCATGTCATTAGGCTTGGGATCGTAGACCGTTTTGTCATCGAGATCGCTTGGAAGGCTTCTCGAGAACGTTTGTTCTCAGGTTCGAAGTTCGCGCTCTTGTAACTTGTGAGGCTCAAGCACATGGAAGCGGTTCGTTCACAAGTCATTCGGGACTTTACACCGTGCTATCTTTCATCGCGATCGCTTTCAAAGACTTCCTTATAATCTCGCGATCCACTACCAGCGAGTGGCGGTCCTCCTTGAATATCGTGGCCATTTCTTTTCCTTTTCGACCAATTGTGGGGCTTATAATCTCGGACCCTATACCCCCAACTCGAACGCGCTACTTTTACAGTGCTAAGCTTGCCATTGCGACCTTATCACTTCTCCTTTCCCCGTGCCGTGATACCACGCACCGCTTACGTAGCGTACGTACTTTATCACGTGAATCATGACAATGACGGAATCGAAATAGGTTGAGAGAGAGGTGTCTTTAAATTTGCAATCGGGGTTCTCTGTCAGTCAGACCAATAAACATCCCGCCACGTTTCTCTTTCGCGCTTCTATCGTCCCGAGTGGCAGGCGCCTGCACTGCTGTGCTATCGCGCTATCTCTCCGGTACCTCAATTCGATGGCATGGGATAAGTAATGGGTGTTACGGAAGGAGTACCTCCGAATTCTGAGCACGCCCAAAGCACGCCAGCGCTGTATTTAAGCGTTGGAAATGGGGTCAAGAAAGTTGTTATCGACTTATCGACTTATCGTAGTTGGCATTTCGAGGATGGCGTTGGCTTTGGTTGGCTGCTATTTCCCCGAGTTCAAGCGAATTTACACACGTTATCAGAAAACAGAAAATGTATCCATTCTGTATCTGGAATTACTTACTAGTAGGGAGAAAGGGCACTGTGTACGTTAGATTTTATTTGAGGAATATACCCCATTTCCCTATCCCAATCTCCAACCCGATAATTTCTAAATACCACAGACATGAATCCGCAATCAAGAAGATAAGAGAACTGCGCAGTCACGCTCCAGGCTGCGCATGCACCGAGCGAACGCGATTTTCAATACTTTGCATTCATCTAAAGTCAGAGACCTAAATTAAAGCAACTTGCTCCGGAAGTATTCGAAAGCGGCTCGCATGAAGGAATGTATGAATATCTACGTGCAGTTATGTGGAGGAAGAAAATACAAAAAATATGACCACCGCAGGACTCGAACATGCAACCTTTTGATACCATCGTTACTGAGTAACCGATCGAAGTCAAACGCGCTACCATTGCGCTAGGCAGCCATAAAAGGACGCATAAAGGAGCCATAACATCCAGTTAAATTAGTGGCATGTTGATGTGTGTAAGTCGACGGTCGACTTACATCATGTTCGTGCAGCAGTTGTACGGCATCCTCCTTTCCACCTGCTTGTAAGAAATTTTCAGAATGTGCACAGTCGACCAATCGCGTCTGGTCTGCCTTGAGGCCGGAGTAGAGTTTCTGGAAATCTCCAAACTTGAGACGACTCAAGGCAAGCGTAATCTGATGATTGATGGTGACTTCATTGTGTTGTGTTGAGAACACGACAGATTGGCTATCTACGCGAGCTAGAGAACGGTGTTAGTCTTCATCAATAACGTTTACTGGAGAAAGGGATAGAAACATGACACGACCGGGGGCCGCATTTGTTTAGCGAACGGCACCCGAGAAGCATTAGCGTCCAAATTCAAGATGTACCAGGCCCGAGATGATGCAATTCAAGAGGTACGCTATAAATTAACATCTTCGTTCGTTACCGGCTTTTCCAGGCCCGCATTATCCAGTTTTCATACAGGAATGGCTGGTTTCGACAAGGTTTCGATTTCTGTTGACTAATTTTGTCTTCCTCTTCACCCATCTCAACATCCGATGGATGAGAATATACGGTGTTGAGGTTCTAGCTCTCAGACGAGCTGTGCTATCGCACTATTATAAAGTGCCAGCTGTCGTGTCGCAGATACTAGAAGAAACCGTTCCACCAGGCAAATAGTTTGAAAGCAAGTACATTTAGGCTCCAACGGTGCAGTTAGAATAATGAGATGCCAGTATGAGGAAACACCAAGGATGCAAGCGGATGCAGCCAGTGTCCATTTGATTTATTAAGAGATGTCCAAGATTTGTCGTTAGAGTACGAAATCGATTCGTCAAGTGAAATAGCCTGGATGATGTAACGATATGGATTGTCAAAAGAGCCTTTCATGAAAAACAGAAGTATCCCATCAATATTGGGTATATTCGGCCTGCTGCTCCAGAATAATGGGTGGTTGCCCAATGTTTGTGATTTAGCAACAACTGAAGAAGGCGACAAGTACTTATTACCCTTGGGGGTGATGTCCTGACGACAGCCCGTCCAGCGCGTATTGTTTGTTCATCGGCGTCTCATGCTTCGCGCACAGGTGACCCAGGTCTGACGGTACAGGAGGACTACATCAGGACAACATCTCCAAAGCACTGAAGCATCGACGCGAAAGTGATGGGTTGCAAAGGCAGCCGACTCTCGGTAAGCCTCAAAGGTTGTCACTGGTTGAACTAGGATTGTATGATTCGGAAGAGTGTTTGAGCTTCAAGCAGAAAGGCTGGGACGGCTCACAGTTGTCGACAGTGGTGGTGCAAGTTGAAGTTGCAGCTTCGAAAAGGGAAATGGCATACCCACGGAGCGGACTCCGCTCCGGGTCTTGAGCTTTTGAGTGAAGGCATTTGCCAAGCAATGTACAACATCGGATCACGCGCCACTTACACCGCTTGGAATTAATCACCGAGTTTTTGACACACGACTTGTACCACCGACACGTTCATTCACAACGAAACATGACTATGAACAGAAACTTCAGCTTCAAAGTCCAACTCTACGTATATTCTCATCTTGCCTGGTACGAATTCTGATGTGGTAAAAGAAAATAGAACAAACAGTTGTTTCTCATCCCGGGTCAACTTTGGGAATTGGAATCCCGTGAGCTCTGCCACCGACCGGAATTCTTTCAGTCCCGCGTCTGAACACCGAGGATATCCTTGGGCCCTTGCCTCGAGGATAGTAGTCTTTATTATGCCACCCAGCGCTGGGGATATCATAAGAGCGCTGTTTCTGGCCAATAACAATAGCTCTATTTCCGCAGGTCTTCCTCTTCACGCTGCTGGCTTGCTTCTCCAGGATAGCCAGTCAGTGGCAGCTACCGCTGGCAGCAGACGTCTCTTTTACAGCAACGATACATTCCTTTCTCTCTTTCTATTCAGCCTTGAATCCACACGCTCGTTGACTCAGTTTCTATTTCTTTTCTACAGTCTTTTCAGTCTGCCATCATGAAAGCGGAGGGTATGTCGGCAAATCATCTTACCCGATACCCCGCTACCCAGATCCATATCCATCGGTCCCCAATTTCTTCCCCATCCGCATCCCACTCTGCAGGACAGATCCTCCTCAAGACAAGCCGGCGGAAACGCGTCGCCGATACAATCACCGTCAGCGGAGACACGGACTCGGAGGACAGTCAAGATGCGTCATCGCTATCAAAATCCTTGTCAATTGGAAGTTCTGGAAACGTATCCCAACGTGTCTTTCGACTACGAACCAACTCGACGACTTCTACGCAAACCATTCGTGCTGGATCTACCACTGCCAATACCAGGGGTGGTAAGAAAGCTGTGTTACACGTTGCAGCTCAGGAAGCTTCCGCGTCTTTGACTTCTTGGGGTGCGGGCGACATAGCCTCCACTACCAAGTCACGATCCAAGTCCAAACCTCGAAAGGGTGTTCGAACCACGTCCTCTGTTTCAAGCTCTGCGGTACCGAAGGCAAAGGTTGCCCCAGCAACATCACGCATACGAAAGAAAAAGGTTAACAGTGTCAATAATAGTGGCCTGGAGCCCGACAATCTTTCGTCCTCCAACGTCAATGAAGGAAATGCGACTATCGCCTCTGGAACACTCACTCACACGACCTCCTCGAACACTACGTCTATCACCCACTCTTATTTCGAAACCGTAGACTATTTGGATGATCCCTTCCGCTGGGACATGGACTCCTTACCCTCTATCCCTAGTCCGCCTGCGAGTCCCATTGATCCGAACGATTCCTCTTCTCTCACACATTCTTTCGCATCTACGACGCCGACCTCGGATACCCCTTTCTCCACCCCAATTGACGAAGACGCCGCAACAGAGCATGAAGGCAAACTCCCTCTATTCATCAGAAAAACCCCAGTCAATGTTCATGACCGCATGAACATCACCAAGGCCAAGCAGAGGGCCAAAGGTCGTGGGTCCCATCCGACCAACCCCACAATCAGTCGCCACATCGTCTTATCAGGACCGAACACCCTTCCCGGACTCCCACATCCTTTGCCCCTGCGCACGGTCAACCAGAATCTCAATGCTCATTTGCCACACCCTTTGGCGGACGCAGCTCTTGCAGAATTGTTTCTGAGGCCTGATCCTTCACGCCCTTCGCCGCCATTCAGCAGCTCTATTTTGTCCAGTCAGATACCTAGATCAATTTCCTCAAGCTCAGGATCAACCTCTAATTACACTTCACTATCGTCCCTACCATCCTCAACGAGCATACGAACAGATGCATGGGGCTCCATGCAACTTACAGCCGCCGACTGTGAACTTTCCGTCACCTTCCCGCAGACGTCCCATTATGAAGTATGGGACATGAAAGACGAGTGCGTCGCGTTTCTCTATTCCTGCTCCACTCATTTAACTGACTATGTTACCAGCGCCTTTGTTGCTTGCCCTCTCCTTCTCAACATCACAGCGAAAGACGCCTTCTCTTGGTCCGGCCGCCCCCTCGCCCTACCGAACATAACCCTCATTGATATTCGCTGCGACGACATCCCCATCCCCACCCCCTTTTCTTCTCCGATTCACACTGAAGACGAGTACACGGTGCAGTGTACAGATACTACCGACCGAGGTGACGATTGTTGGCAGACGAAATTGAATCCCCGATATTCTTCGGAAGACGACAAGGTACAGGGTAAAGGCCTGCCAGGAAAGGGCAAGAACAAGGACAAGGACTTCGCCGTTGTGCACAATCGGATCTCGATAGAAGGACGATGGGTGAAGACATACGCTAGACCTGGAGTTGAGGGTCCTTCCATGGGCCGTATGCGATGGGCACCTCGCCATGATCGATACTCCTTTTCCTCCGAGGTCGGAACGGAGCACGAGAAGTGTAATCTCTCCGACCCTGATAACGGAAGCACCCCCAACGGCCGCGGTTGGTTCCTCAAATTCTGGATCCCAGTCCCCACCCGGCTCTTCAGGAAACGAGAGACGAGAGCGTTCGATATACGAGCGAGTGTCTGGATGGCTGGAGACGAGGAGCGTTTATTATCCATGGGCATGGGCATGGGTACGGGCCTCGACAGCGGCTCAGAGGATGGGGAGGGATGTCGGCTCATTACGGAGGCCGAGATGACAGTGTCGCACCTGCGGCGGGAGAGGGAAATGGACCGTATGATGAACTGGCCCTAGCATTGGCCATTGAAAGTGTTATTCTTACCCTCCTTGTAATTTTCTGTTCGTGTTCGCTCGTTGGCTGTTGACAGTTCTGCAGCTTTTGTTACTCATTTGTATCGCATATCCACATCACCTCGTTTTGTTTTTACCTACTCCATACCTACTGTATCCTCATTGTAGCCCTAATATTTATTCCATACACTAGTTACCCTGTTGTAACGGTACCCTACATCAAATTGTCACTCTACTACATCCACATCCACACCCTCGTTTATGTTACGTCTGTATTCCGATGTATCAGAACTGGGACAACCCACGTAGAGTTGGACCCTGCTACGACTAGTCCTTCATAATTCAACAGAGAATATGTTCATTAATATGGGTATCGTCAGAGGCGTCGTGATGAGGTATAATACAACAAACTATCGAAGTGAAGTGACATGTTACAATGATCGCACCCATGTGTCTAGCTGTATGTGTCGCGAAATAAATAAAGATCATGGAGGATTCTCTCCATCCACAGCAACCATTCACAAGTTCCAACGAAGCGTAAGCCCATTCCTGTGGTCATAGAAATCCAGATGTCCAATCACCATATTTGGAAGTACGCTGTTGAACAGTCGCTGTCGACAAGGACATCAAAGAAAGTGCTGTGAAGATCCGCGTATGCCAAGGAACGAATCCATCGCAAACGCGCATCAGGTATCACTGACCATCTCCTTCCGCAACGCCTCAAATTTTCGCCCTTCACCCTCAGCCCTCTCCACTGTTTTCACGAGCTTCTGCTCTCTTACCTCCAACCGC